CTAAAGAGGAGGGAGACCTTCCAGCGTGTTATCAGCGTTCAGTTCACAAGCCAGCATCTCTGATGGTATGGGGGTGCATAAGTGCATATGGTATGGGCAACTTGCATGTTTTGGAAGGCACTATGAATGCTGAAAGGTATATAAAGGTTTTAGAGCAACATATGCTCCACTCCAGACAATGAGCTATTACAACAGCATGGCTTCGTAGTAGAAGAGTCCGGGTGCTGAATTGGCCTGCCTACATCCAGATCTTTCACCTATAGAAAACATTTGGCGCATCATTAAATGAAAAATACATCAAAGATGACCACGAACTCTTCAGCAGCTGGAAACCTATATCAGGCAAGAATGGGACCAAATTCCAACACCAAAACTCCAGAAACTCATAACCTCGATGCCCAGACGTCTTCAAAGTGTTTTGAAAAAAAGAGGAGATGCCACACCATGGTAAACATGCCCCCGTCCCAACTATTTTGAGACCTGTAACAGGCATCAAATTTGAAATTAGCTCATTTTGTGCATACAATTGTAACATTTCTCAGATTAAACATTTGTAATGTTATCTATGTTCTATTGTGAATAAAATATTGGCTCATGTGATTTGAAATTCTTTTAGGTTTCATTTTATTCAAATTTAAATACAGTGCCAACATTTCCGGAATTCAGGTTGTAATAGCTTTGCAGGATTATACATGATTTGGATACTTAGTTTAAAAAAAGTTATATCTGATTCTGTTGCATGGAACTGAATAAAAATAATATATTGATATTTAATATTAAGGTAACACTTTTCAATAAGGTTCCATTAGTTAATGTTAGTTAATGTATTAACTATCATGAACGAACAATGAACAATACATTTATTACAGTATTTATTAATCTTTCTTGATGTTAGTTAATTTGAATACAGTTGTTCACTGTTAGTTCATGTTAATTCAGAGTGCATTAACTGTTAATAAGCACAACTGTTGATTTTAATAATGCATTAGTAAATGTTGAAATTAACATGAACTAAGATTAATAAATGCTAACAAAAGAAGCATTGTTTATTCGTTCATGTTAACTAAAGTAGTTAACTAATGTTAACTAATTAAACTTATTGTAATGTGTTACTAATATTAATATAAATTCTGTCCAGTTTTATTGTGTTACTTTCAGTAAAAATATGTTGTTGTTGTTGTTTTTTAATTCAGTATCATTAAAATTGAGTTAAATTAAAAAGTCTTACAAAATTACTTTGTATTATTTAATAAAATAATAAATAATCATTACAAAGCATTTTCGATTTCGGTTTTCGGCCAAGTGCATCCAGAATTTTCGGTTTCGGCCCAGAATTTTCATTTCGGTGCATCCCTAAGCAACAGGCGCGACCATGTTCTGAGCCTCCAGCCTGTGAGGAGAGAGATATTCTACGTTCAGAGGCTTTATCCAGCAAGACAACAACAGATGCAGCACGTCCTGAGTCTCCATCCTAGAGAGACAAAGCAGACTGACCAAGTTCTGAGTCTCTAGCCCAGCGAGGCAGAAGACACACAGACATTTGTAACAAGGTTAAGCTCCAGCAAGCAAATCTTCACTTCGAGGTACTTTTGCTTGTGTGTTCCAGGCAATGACCTTCTGCACCTACTCCAGGGCCACATCTGCGTGTTCCAGATTTTAGGACCTCCAGGAGATCAGCATCCTCCAGCACTTCATGTTCAAGGCTGTTAAAATGGATTCCTGCTCCTTTCCCCACTGCACTGTGTGCATTGACTGTCACTCGATCGCAGAGAACATAAATATCCCTTTCCCAATCCTCTTCCAGAGACCGTGGCATTATTGTATATTATCACTATATGATTTTTCTAATTTACATTAGATATTATATAGCTGATTGCAGTTGATAACAAATAATCTATCACATATTTGTTTGATGCATGATAAGTTTCTTCACCTTATTTCTTTCCAGATAACGTAGCTCTGACATAGCAACACCCAACGTAATCACTTGCATTTTATGCAACTTATGCACTTTATTACTTTTTCATTCATTGTATTCATTAAGTAGTTGTTGATTACACTTGTCTATCTTTTCTTAATGCCTTAAATGGCACGTGATCCAAAAATCATAACGTCAACAGTGACATGTGTACCCATCACTACACTATTTCGCCTCCCTAGGTGGTGAAAGCAAATTCACTACAGTATCAGCATTTGTCCAGGTGACGGTTTTGTTCAGGATGTGCTGTTTTGATTCAGTTGTTTGGAGCTTGTGGAGTTTCCACTGTCAAATACTGTACAATAAAGAGAACGATAAAATACACTAAGATCTGCTTTAATAGAAGATAAAAAATGGAAGCATTGACTCAATAACTTACTCTAGTTTCTCCAGTTTAGAGTGTGGATCCTCCAGTAGAGCAGAGAGCAGCTTCACTCCTGAATCTCCTGGTTTATTATCATTCAGATTCAGTTCTCTCAGGTGTGAGGGGTTTGATCTCAGAGCTGAAATCAGAGCAGCACAGCCTTCCTCTCCAATACCGCAGCCCCACAGCCTGCAGGGAGTGAAGAAGATGAATGATCTCTGAGAATGTGTTTGTGTGTGTGTTATGAGCAATACTTTTTCTATACATCGGTGCTATAGAGATTTTAACTTGCCAGCAGCTAAAACATTAATTTAAATGCACTCTACCCACATGATTCCTGATTGTGATGTTGAACTAGTTTATAATACTTTATTAAATGATTAGTTCCATTCCTCGATTCTGATTGGTCAGCAGCTGTGTTTTATTCACGATACAGCATGGCTATGACTGCTTCACTCAACGGTTCTGTGTATCACTGAGCAACACCCTTAGCTACATAAACAATCAAAAATATTGCATCAAAACTGTTTCATGTATTATGTATTTCGGCAGAATTAACTGTTTATTTATTTAATGAAGAATGAGTGACCCCTGCTTATGTTGCATCTTTCATCTTTAATTTTGAGACCCCGCCCTTCCCCCGTCTAATAAACGCTTCTCATGCAGAGATATGTTGATGTGTGTGCGCGTCTGTGTGGAAGCTTACAGTTTCCGAAGTGATGAGGGAATATTACTGTATTTATTAGTTTTCTGTCTCAGGTATGATTCTGTATGTCCATCAGTTTACACTGTAATGACACTTGCAAACTCGCGCTGTGCCGCGAATCGGTCTGATTTCAAACTAAAAGACGGAAAACAGACGTTTTCTCATGCTGAGAGATAAGCAGATGTGTGTGTGTGAGAAAACTTTATTTAAGCTCCATTAGATGAGGCATGTTCAGAACATTCTCTTGCTGTTTACTGTTGCTCTCAGGAACTATTTTTTATTTTTCAATCAGGGGCGGTTCTGGGGGGGGGGTTCATAGAACCGCCACCATTCTGTTGAGCTTATAAACGCAGCGGCCAATCAGAAACGTTTAGATGAGTCATCGCCGAAACGCCAGTGTTTTGTACAGTGTGCGCGCTCGCTGACTGAATTCTGCTCTCTGGCGAATTTTCTCATCATAAACAACAAAGTGCAGATGTGTGTACGAATGTAAGTAAGATATTCATTTCATAGTGTAAACCGCTTCAGTGATTTTGATGGGAGTTTATGAGAGTGCTTGAACTCTGACTAGACTGAAGTCAGTGATATTGTTTTTGATAATGTAAATGTTCTTTGCTCTCTTTCTGTACCATAAAAGTGTTATAATTTGTAACTTACAATGTTTTTATTAAATTCATATTAAATACAAAGTCAGTTGTATTAAAAATATTGTATGGCATGCTGGAGAAAATGCGGAAATGTATCGGCTGACCATTTTCACATCTTCTGGGACTGTAATATCATTCGTACTTACTGGCAGGATTTGAATAGAGAGATAAATGCAATAATGGGATTGAATCTTGAGAACAAACCTGAATAAAATTTTTATGTGACTGATGATGAACCCAATCCAATATTTGTAATATCAGAGAGTCACAACCCTGTTCCTGAAGGCACCTCAACTTTGCACAGTTTCAATGAATCTCTCTTATCAAACACACTTGATTCGACACATCAAATCATTAGTAGAGCTCTCTGTGATGTTAGCCGAGTGTGTCAAATAAGAAAGACCTCAATATACAGAAACAGTGTAGAGAAGCACAGGCCTATACTGTATAAAATAAAGTCAATAAAACAAAGACACTGTAAAATACTCACTCAGCTTTTCTAGATGCTTTGATCACTGGCAGCAGCCTCAGGAGACATTCTTCAGCTGATTCTGTTACATCAGACAAACTCAGATTGTTTTGGAAATCTAGACGCAGTCGACACTCATCCAGACCATCAAATATGAACATGACTTTGTAGTCATCATAATCTGCTGACTTAATTTCTTTGGTTTCTGTGTGAAGGTGATTTAGAAGATCCACAAGACTGAGATTTTTCTGTATCAAATTAAGCTCCCTGAAAGGAAGTGGAAATATGAAATGAACATCCTGATTGGCTTTTCTTTCAGCCCAGTCCAGAATGAACTTCTGCACAGAGACTGTTTTTCCAATTCCAGCGACTCCTTTAGTCAGCACAGTTCTGATGGGTTTGTCTTGTCCAGGTGAGGGGTTAAATATGTCATTGCAGTTGATTGGTGTCTCCTGTGTCTCTGGTCTCCTGGACACTGTCTCAATCTGTCTCACCTCATGTTCATTATTGACCTCTCCACTGTCTCCCTCTGTGATGTAGAGCTCTGTGTAGATCTCATTCAGACGTGCTGAGTCTCCATGATTGGACATTCCTTCATTGATTCTCTGATATTTATCCTGTAGTCTGGATCTGAGTTTTTGTTGATAAACATGCATCAGTTCTGAGCAAAGGAAATAATTGTTGTTATTGGCAGAGCAATATGTTAGAAATGTATTTTTAGGTTTGATATGTTAGATGTTAGATTGTGTCATGACATTCAGGAACATTAGTGACTGAAGGTTGATAATAAAAACACAGGCTATAAACTGCTGATCCAGAGCTCTTACTGGTCTGTAGTGTGTTAGCGAGGTCTGTCTGGTTCATCTTCCTCAGGATGTGCAGTGTGATCTTCAGAAGCCCCTCTCTGACTCTGCTATGACCCTCATCATCATGATCGTCTCTTTCAGAGCATTCTGGGTAATCTGGACTCAGTAGTCTCTTAAAGCTTTTTAACTCACTCTTCATCACAGAGATGATTTTGTGTTCAAGCTCCTGAAATCATAGTAAATATTCAAACAATAAACCTCCATTACATCACAGAGAAGGTGAACCAAAGAATCAATACACAAGAGTCAAGGCATGAATAATATTTACCGTCACTGAATTATATCATATCTGCTAATAACTTCCACTGTATGCTCAAACATCAGCGTCTACAGATACTGAGGTTAAAAGAGGGAGTTTGACTGGATTGGTTGTTTGCTAGATTGATGTTCATCTTTATACAACAGTCAGGTTACATATGGATTCAGCTTCTCTACTTTAGTGGACATTGATCTGCTTTATAGTGGCCTACAATTTATCTTACATGTGTGTAGGAAAGTAAATATGACTATTACAGAGAGGATTTGACAGATTTCTCAATTTTTTAATACTTTTACCCAGAGGGTTATTGTGTGGACACACACAGACACACACACACACACACACACGCACACGCACACGCACACACACATCTTTATACAACAGTCAGGTTACATATGGATTCAGCTTCTCTACTTTAGTGGACATTGATCTGCTTTATAGTGGCCTACAATTTATCTTACATGTGTGTAGGAAAGTAAATATGACTATTACAGAGAGGATTTCACAGATTTCTCAATTTTTTAATACTTTTACCCAGAGGGTTATTGTGTGGACACACACAGACACACACACACACACACACACGCACACGCACACGCACACACACACACACACACACATACACACACACA